CGGCTTTTTATTCCTCTCCAGGAGGAGGACCGGAATGCATTCAACAGCCGTTGGATGGTTGACGCCGAACGGTATGGTAGTACAGTCTACTCAATGCAATCGATGCAATGTCAGAAACTGTAGCCTGGTGATAAGGACCGCGGTTAGCTCATCCGAGACAAACAGTGAGGACACTACGACTTGATGCCAGCTCGCGCACCCCGTGCGATGCGTTAAAAGGAAAGCAGTCATGGCAACCGCGACCACGGAGCGGCGAGGACCGATATGAAGCCCAACTACCAACGCGCCTGTAGAACCTTGTCCTTCAGTAAGTTGGTACAGACTGTAGTGCAGTCAACTTCACGGAGGCGCCGTGTTATCGCAGCAACAGCTGGTGAAAAAAGGTCTCGGGGGCAAACTCACTCAAATCATCGTCGTCGTGCTGAGACTGGAACGCCGCGCCGACGGGCGGGAGGTCGACGTCGTGGACAAACGACGTGCCAATCCCTTGCGCCGCGGCCACCGAACAAATTCTCTCGACGTCGTACAATGTCCACGCATCATTGTACACGTTGATGTCGATCGCGAGCAGCGGGCTGGCTTCCTTGGCTTGCAACAGGCGTCCGACGTGATCGAGTGTCATCCCTGCGTACGAGAGATCGAGCCACTCGAGGCTTGGGAGGCCGTGGCGCACGCACGCCGCCCATGCGAGGACGCCCGCGATCTGTAGCCGATTGCAGAGCAAATCGAGCTTTTGGAGGTACCAACAGTGCGGCAAAACGCTGGCCAGTAGCAGCATCCCGTCGTCTCCGATCGCATTGTTGCTCAGGTTAAGTTCGCGAAGACACTTCCAGCGGGGCAGCGCCCGTGCCAATAGACCCGCGCCGTCGTCGCCGAGGTGGTTGTCGGCCAAGTGCAGCGCCTTAATCGCAGTCTGCTGGAGCGCTTCGAGGATGTCGTGGAGGCCGTACGCGTGCAAGTTGGTCTGGCTCAAGTTGAGGTACACGAGGCTCGAATACTGCTGGAGCGTCGCCTTGAAAAACATCGAGAGCGTTTCGATGCGCGCGATCTGGAGGTGCGTGAGGCACTTGGACGCGCGATGGGCGGGGACAAAGGACGACGCGTGTCGGTGGAATTGCCCGCCATGACTGGACCGCGTCGACCGCAAGATGCAAATATACCGCGGGCAGTGGGCCAGCACCTGGTCGACAAACCGCTCGCAGTGGTCGGCCTCGAGGACCGCGAGGGTGCGGCACGCGTCGGCCGCATGGAACCAATCGTTGTAGAGAATTTCCGACGCGAGCTCGAGGCGCGCGAGCTTGAAGTGCGCGATGGGATGATGGGCAAAAATCGCGCCGAGGCGAATGACCGCCGCGGGCGGCAGGCGCTTGACGTGCATGGGCTGCCGCTGGCGTAAATGCCACTCGTGCTCGTCGCCTTCGATCGCGAGGTGCGTGATGCGTGCGCAGGCGAGGACGATATCCAGGCAGCTTAGTAGCGTCGCGGGCCCGCCGTGCCACACAATACGGACGCGGCGCAGCGTTCGACTCGCCAGCATGAGATGCCCCACGCGGTCCAGCTGTCGCTGGCCAATGTCGCCGACCACGATTTCGTACAGGCGCGAGAAAGACACGAGCGAGAGGATTCGGGCGGGCACGCGATCCATTAGCGCCCACGAGATGAGGCCGGACGACGATGCCAAGCAGCGCTCCAGCACGTCGATCGAGGTGGCAGCGTCGGGTATGCGCAGCTTCCCAACGAGCTGCCATGCGCGTTGAACGTGGTTGGTGCTCTCGGTGGCGATCGCTGGTAGGTCCAAGATGGGCCACAGCCGACGGCGGGGCACGCGGCGGGCCAGCTCCGCGAGGCTCTGCATCGGCGGGCTGCAGAGCGCGCGGGGCAGCGCCGCCAGGAGTGCGAAGGCCGTCGACGTGTCGGCTACGAACTGAAGGATGAGGTGCATGACGTCGGCCGGCGGCGTCATGGACGGACGGGACGATGGGCGGCGCTCCGACATGCGACCAGCTTGTAATCTACCGGTATAGCGGAATCTGTGATGATGTGACCTTTGGCCAATCACAGCGCGTGGCGCCATTTCCAGCATGTTTCTGTGATCGATCGGAGAAAGGCCATGTGACCGTCCGTCAAGGGAATAGTTAATCCCTTGCCGTCCGTGCACAGCTGGTCCGAGCTGTCCGGGCACGTGGACTTTTTGTATTTGATGATGTGCTAGTATCGGGACCAAGGGGACCAAGGCCATGTTTCCATGCGTCTTCGGATGTGAAACGATGGGCGTGGCGCATGACATTTCGCATCGTGCTTCGTGGTTGTTCTTCATGCGCAGCCTCGCTTTTCTCCCCGTCAGCCTCCAGCGTCAAACAATACGCGTGAACCTCTCAATGCTCAGTCAAGAAGGGGTGTTCATGTCGATTTCTTTTAGTCTAGCGGTCTCGACTCTGGGATACCACCAAGTACTGTAGATCCGGGTTTAAGTCCCAGAGCAGAGAGAGCCCCACTCTCTGATTTGGTCGAAGCGCCCGCGCGACTGCTACGAGGTGACAACGCGCATAGGTATCATCGTCAGTTGAAGGGCATCGTCCGTTTACGCATACAGAATTCGGATGTACATTGATAGAAGGGTTTTGGATCGAGGCGAGAGAAAGCTATCCTAAAACACGACCAGCAGTTGGAATTTCAATGTCTTTTCTGCAGACTTGGTTCTTATTGCGTCGTTGCAGCTTTCACAATGGCGAGCATGCTCAGGCGGCAATGCGCGTAATGCCTTCATTTCTGCCAGGACCTCGGGTGAGGTCAGGCGGGTTGCTTGCTTAGGAGTCGAGATCTAGAATGCTAACTCCACGACGGCTTGCAAGATACGCCCTTGCGCAAAACACCCATTTTATTCGTCAATGGCACCTGGCACGATTGCATCGACGCCTAGTACGGACACGAACTCTAGACTGCGGCTTCCTGGGAGCTTACATATCTAGAGATGCACGCTTGCTTTCGACGGGCTCAACCCTGGACTCACCTGTCGCTTTGGCTGCACGCCGAGGGAGGCGGGCGGTGCGCAGTTAAGGCAAGAGGAAGAAGAATGGATTCTTGGAGAACGTGGAATATGTCAACCTGGCAAAGAAGCATGCAAAGCGAGCTCCTGAAAATTCCATGCTTGCACAATGGCAGGCCCAACAGTCGAATCGAACATTATTGCCTACCAAACAACCAATCAACGCGGCGGTCTCTCGATCTTCCGAGCGAGAACGGTCACATTGCGAAAATCGTAGCCGGGATGACTGGCCAACGCAAGGGCTCTCGAAAGACAAAGCAGTCGACCCACCACGCTCCGACCGGCAAGGAGCAGTTTGAAGAGGCCGTTGAGCTTCTCCGCAGCGCAACCAGACACCCGTCGGCTCCGTGGCTTACGTTCGAGATGCCGCATCACGTCGAGCCGCTTCTGCGCGTCGGTACGATGGACGAGTGGCTGGGTTGGCCGCTCTGCAAGTACCAAGCCCACCAGGTTATGTGCGCGAACCCAACATCGGAAGACGGCGTCGCCGTCGTCCCGGCAGCGCATCTCGCATTTGAGAGCGCTGATTGGCACCAGATGTTGGACGCGGCGTGCCAGCACCTCACGGCCAAGTTTGCTTCTCAAAACGCCGTCTCGCTCGAGCTCTCGCACTTGGTACTCGATAGCAAAGGGTCGGCCGCCAGCCTCGTGCCGGCGCGTCGCCCCGCGCATAGCATGGGGACCATGTATCTGCTACTACCGTCTCATTACAAGGGTGGCGGCATGACGCTGCTGAATGATGGCTCCAAGCACACGTGGAAGCACGACGCCTTTCTCACGCGACTGCACTGTCTGGCGCAGGCGACAGCAACAACAATCTTTGTCGACCCGATAACGCACGGCACACGGGTGCTCTTGGTGTACCATCTCCTCAACGCATCACATTCGACGCACTTCAAGGACGCGGTCGCCAAGCTCTCGGCGGCGGCATCCTCCATGTCGTTTCAAGTGGGCGCGCTCGGGCTTTCGCAACCCAACCCAAAGCTGTCGCTCGAGACCCTCTTGCCGGTCGAACTCGACTTTGTGCAGGCATTGCGCGCGTCCGGCGACTACGATGTGGTCCTCGCCGAGCACCCTATTTACGTCAACTTTACGGGGACGTACGACATACGACTCGCGGGGAAAAAGCAAAAGACCGATGCTTGGAAGCCGGGGCACAAGGGGTACGGTCCACGCATCCATCGCTTCCAAGCTCTGCCTGGTGCCCCGCTGCCCGACGCCATCGCGGCGGGCGTCCAGGATCTTGAGGTGGAGGTGCGCCTCTTCGAGAAGAGCCCGCTGCATTATGACAACTACCAAGGGACGCGGTATGCAATCGTGTTTTGGCCAAAGTGCAGGCGTTTGGACTGCGCGAGCCTCGCCGATGCCGTCAACGCTTTGCTGCATGCGGCTCAGCAGCCGTGTCCGTCGCCTAATGCACTCTTGGGTCAACGGTCGGTCATCGCGCTCGCCGACGCTCTCTTGGCTCGGTTGGGTCGTTCGGACGAGGTGGCGCGGCCCACATATGCACAGAGTCTCACAACGTACGGCGCCGCGCTCATCCTCTTGCGACATCTACCGACGGTCCAGCGCCTCGTGGGCAAAATTCTCCGCAGTGGGACGTCAAGCACATGCTTCGAAAAGGTCGCGTCCATGCTCTTCAAGCTCCTCGCTGCCTTTGGTTGGGAACCACTCTCAGAGGCACTGCACACAATGATGCGTCGGTGGGCTGCCACGTCATGTGGGCTCCAGCGGTGCTACCAACTCGTGGCGCGCTGGGCCGGTGCAGCCCCGTCGCCGCTCGGGCTCAAACAACCGTTCGCTGTCGAGCTGATCGTCTCGCTCTGGTCGACGATTGCGGCCAAGTTCGAGCATGCTCTCGACCAAGAAGACGACGAGACATCTGCGAAGGACGCCCGCATCGTCTTTGCGTCGAGTTTGTCTCTGGAGCTCTACGTCACGCATCCCAAACGCGTGCGCGAACGTTGGCTCGCCAATAGCCTTCCCGACCGCGCCGTGGCCATAGTCGCTTCGTTCCTTGGTCCGATCCCGACGTTGCGCGAGCTCGTTTTGGGGAGCGCCTTTGACCCGCTAATCGACATGCCACCGGGCTTTGCAGCGACATTGCGACCCGGCAGCGCTGACCACGTCGACAAGCACGTGTACACTGACTCGATTCTGCACGTCTTTTTCCACGCCGACATCGACACCATCGACCACAGCTTGGACACACAGGCGATCGCGGCGCTTTTGGCGATCGCGGCAACCGTCCAAAAAGTTGCTGTCGTACTCGACCGGCTTTCGGCGGGTCGGCGGTTGGCACTCGCGCCGGCCATCTACCGTTTTGCGCGGCACTGGCCCCACTTGGCCTCGGAAAATGTACTTCGCCACTGCTCTCGCGTGCTCCTGCGCAATGCCACCAACAACGTCGCGATGCGCATCTTCAACGGCACCGGCCACGTGCGCCAGGCGCCGGTGCAGAACGCCGTCGCAGCGATCTCGTTCTTTGCGACCTATGATCGCAGCAACCTCCACGCCTTTACCGAGAAATGGCTGTGCACCGTCGAGCCCCATGCGATCGGCGATGTGGTGATCAAACTGCACGTCGCGGGGCCGGCCGAAACAGACTTGATCGCTCGACTGGCACACGTGTACTTGGATGCCGTCAGCGGGGACGGCGCGCGACTCACCGACTATGCGCTGCTGGAGATCGATGTCCCGCCTTGCTGCGAGTCGTGCACCGCCTTTGAAGCGTACCTGCGCGACCCGCTTCGCATTACCTTCAACTTTGGCGACTGGAAGGCGTGCAATCATATTCTCGCCATCATTCTGTCCCACCCGCTGCAACTCGAGGTGCAAGACACCGCGTCACCGTCCCACGACGACAGCTTTTGGTGCGAGCACGACCCGTACGACCAAGTCGCGGCCGTCTTTGCTCGAAAAGTGCGCCAGCCGGGACAGGCCACACCGGCGGTGCTGCGCATGCACGCGCGCCCAACCATTGGAAGGAGAAAACGAAGCACATCACGACGATCGTCAAGGCCATCGAGACCGACAACCAAGCGTCTCGCTAACAGCACCAATACAGAGTGTGTGAACGACCATAGACTGAATGAATCCCAGGGTCACGAGCATTAGTGCGGGACGAGGCTTCTGTCCTGCAAGCGTTGATCAAAGGTAGAGCGAGGATGAGTCTGGCCATGTCCTACGCAGGCTCTCTAACCCAGTACTAAAGACCGCACACGTGGACATGCTACACGCCAAGCAACACCACGTTGGAATTTGGTTGGAAACGGGGGCCGTAATAGGCGCATTCGACGGGCCGCGCCCTGTCGACAAGGTACTGCAAGTGGACCGACCTTGGCCGGCGAACGGCGCGCAGACAACGCCGCTGGCGACACGTGAGACGCTCGTCTCTGATTCGTTTCGCCCACGAATCTCACGGCGCATGGCTGAACGACGCCTCGCTTCACATCGCTTCCGCCATGTTCTAGCGTGCAATGCGCTCGCCATGATGGCGACGTTCTCCATCGTCGTGCGCTCTGCTCTATAAGCCGCTTAAGTCTCTATGTGTCATCGAGCGTAGGAAGGAAGGATGTCCCCAACGTCCATGGGCGTTTCGGCCATGACGTGGCAATGGGGCTGGGCAGGATGCATCAACAACCAAGATCCCAAGTTCAATCTGCGCACGTGACGATCGCGCCTCACGCGTGGCAATGTCACGGAATTTTGGCCAATCAAAAGCCAGGTTCGAAAATCCTCGGCAAAAAGCGTATTTTCGGATTCGTCAACAAGCAGCAGGATGAGCAGCAGCTACCCGAACGGTGTCCGCGAGTGCTGGGGCGACTACCGCGACGAAGAGGACCTCGAAGTCCCGACGCAGGCGCTCTACCAGCACCAGAAGAAGCTGCCGAACCTGCCCGTGCCCACGCTCGAGGCCACGTGCGCGCTCTACCTGCAGACGGTCCGCCCGCTCGCGACCGACGCTGAGTTTGCCGCAACCAAGAAGGCGGTCCAGGCCTTCCTCGACAGCCCGCTCGGGCCGACGCTCCAGCAGCGCCTCCTCGAGCGCGCGACGTCGCGCCCCAACACGTCGTACCTCGCCGAATGGTGGAACAAGCTCGGCTACCTCGAAGTCCGCGACCCGGTCGTCTTTTACGTGAGCTACTTTTTCCACTTTAGCGACGCGGCGCACGCGCTGCAGCGGTCGCAGGTCGGCCGCGCCGCGAGCCTCCTCGTCGCGACCATGGCGTTCCGCAACCAGGTCGCGTCGGGCACGCGGCCGCCCGAGGTGCTCGGCCGTGGCAAGACGCCGCTCTGCGCGACCGCGTACAAGTATATGTTTAACGCGTGCCGGATTCCGCATCGCAACGCCGACTCGTACCGCATTTACGACCCGAGCTTGCACCATCACATTGTGGTCTTGCGCAACAACAAGTACTTCAAGGTGCAGCAGACGTCGACGCCGCTCACGTTTCTGCAATGGACCAACGCCCTCGACAAGATCATTGCGATCGCTGGCGGCAAAGAGTCGTCGATCGGCGTGCTCTCGTCGCAAGACCGCGACGTGTGGGCCGACGGCCGTGACCAGCTCCTCGTCGACGGCAACGAAGCGTCGCTCAAGGACATCGAGTCGGCGGTCGTCGTGCTCTGCCTCGACGACGAGACGCCGGTCTCACGCACGGAGGTCGCGCGCGGTCTTTGGCACGGCAACGGCCGCAACCGCTTCTACGACAAGACGATCCAGCTCATCGTGTACGAGAACGGCAAGGCTGGCATCCTCGCCGAACACTCGATGCTGGATGGGATGGCCATGAGCGTCTACGCGGACTTTATGCTCAGCGGCCTCCGCAACGGAACCATCGACCTCGGCGACCTGACGACGCCGCACGGCGCGCTCCAAGTGCCCGCGGTCACGCAGCTGCCGTTCAACATTACGCGGGCGACGCTGCGCAACATTGCGCTGGCCGAGCACAGCTTTGATCTGCTTGTCGCCGACCACGAAGTGCACGTCGAGTCGTTCTTCGGCTATGGCAACGGTCTCATGAAGACCTTCAAGTGCAGCCCGGACGCGTATGTGCAGATGGCCATTCAGCTCGCGGTATGCCTATTTATTGGAAAGTTGACGCGATGCTTATTCTGGCGTAGGCGCGCAAGTACTGGGGCAAGGACGTTGGCACGTACGAAGCGTCGCAGGTGCGCCCGTACCTCCACGGCCGCACCGAAACGACGCGCAGCTGCTCGATCGCGAGCAAGGCATTTGTCGACGCGATGGTCACCTCGGCGCCGCTCGAGCGCATCGGCGACAAGGTATGTCATGCTGACAGTACATAAATGACGACGCAGCGTGACATGCTTTCACAAACGTAGGCGACGGCCTGTCGCAACGCGTGTGCCTCGCACGTGCAGTACATGAAGCTCGCGGCGCAGTCCAAGGGCGTCGACCGTCACTTTCTTGGTCTTCGCATGCTGTTGCAGCCGGGCGAGACCGCTGCAATCTTTGAGGACCCGCTCTTCGCGCGTTCCAAGTACTGGCAGATCTCGACGAGCCACTTGACGCACGAGCTCTTTGACGGCTGGGGCTGGGGCGAGGTGGTGGCCGACGGCGTCGGCATCGCGTACAGCATCAAGAAGAACTCGGTGCACTTCAACATTGCGTGTCGCAAGACGATTCCGCTCTCGATGGCGCGCGCGTTCGGCCACTTGCTCGAAGAGAGCCTCCTCGAGATGCGCCACGTGTTTGAAGCCGAGACGCCGCCGCTGGCCAAGCTCTAAGCAGCGAGGCTCTTTCTAATGCAACTGTTTGGTTTTGTATCTTCGGCGCAACGGCAGTCATTGGGCGTTGGAGGGTCAATAGCTGCTCGCTCGCTTTGTTGGATAGCATGTCTACATGCGGGCTTGCACTCCTATGTCGGGTGGGCCGAGTACAGGAGCCTGCACACGATCTCGCGCGACCTATGACTCGGTCCACCACGAGATCGATCTTTCCGAACGTAGCTCAGTCCCGACGACCAAGTGCCAACTCCCACGCATTCAGGCGTGCAGCGCTATGTATGCAAGTCTTTGCACTAATGAAGATAACGCAGAACACGTTCATACATATAACAGGCCCCGTGCGGGGTGAGCTCAACGGTGTTTGCAGTGACGGCGCTTGCTGGCTTGCTGCAGTCTGGCTTGCTGCAGTCTTCGCGGGCTTCTGAAATCGCACCTAATCGGAACGTTGTGTGATTTTTTTAACCCGTTCGGACGTGAAAAGTTTCCATACGTTTCTATATTAAGAATAGACTTGATTTCAGTTTTTTTTTTCTAACCCCGAGAATCTCGGGGTTAGAGAGAGCAAATTGCAATATTTGTTTAGCTCAAAAGGCTATTTTTAATGAGTTTTAGTCCCCAGGACTAAAAATCTCGGGGTTAGAGGAGCCAATCAGAAAATTCGGCGACAGTGACTCACACTTTTGAGTCTATGGTCCCATGCCCGCGCCGCCACAATGGACCAATGGGAACGATGTACATTCCCTTAGGTAAGTACAGAAGTGAAATGGGAAATGACTACTCATTAGCCCTCACGCAACGGAACATAGTCTCGTTTGCGACATCCGAATTCCATACTCGGACGCACCGATGCCAACGATTGCGGAACTCGAGCGACACCGTGGCAAGGCCAAGGCGACCGACAAGCCGGCTAAAGTCGCCGTGGCTGAGGCCAGCGTGCCTGCTACCGCTTCACCCGCTGCCTTTTGCGACATCGTGGAGAGCCGAACGAAGTTTCC